CTACGTTGATGAGGCTACCTGGGAGGAGCAGCAGACCTCCAAGGGAACGGGCAAGAAGCGCCAGTTCGTTAGCGTTGCCTGAGTTTAGGATTAGGTTTGTGTACAAGCATGTCTATTGGCGTTATGATCATTTTCGACCTTGTTACTTTGGAGGTCTTCTCTATCTTGTTTTCCATATAAAAGTTTTATATCCTTGGGAGTTGAAGAGAATATAAGGGATGTATGATAGTTCAATTTCGAAGTAAAATATAATCTTTTCTCTGGGATAATTGTCTGCTGGGTTTTCATAAAGCCAAGTCCAAGTGTATCCAAGTAGTAGAATAATTCGTTCAATTGGTCTAGCTATTATATTCTGCCATATGCAATAATCCAAGCAGGCGTTGACACCGAAGACGAATCTAGAATCTGCATTGCAAAGAGACATCATTAGTGATTTGCTCCAAGCAACGACACGTGGATCTTCCCAAGACCACAATCAAAAGAAACAACAAGTATCCGAAGACTCTACTCAGGAGAACCAATATAAGCATCGACGACAGGGATTTCAGCCCCTGTCATACCTCTTCCGGCTCTTCCTATTAAAATTCCGGTTCTAATGCGAATCTCATCATGATAGAGTCTGTTTGGTGGATGTTTGTTGTTTCCTCACTTGTGGTCCTGTCAGAGGAGTTTAGTGCAACATACCTATTAGTGTATTATTCCAGCATGGACCGAAGATCAATCTCATTCATTGGTCTTAGTCCACACTGGACTTTGGTGTTGGTTGGAGCTGGAGAAGAAGAAAGAGTTCCGTTTGGAGTTTTGTGAGAAAATTTGGCCAGGTGGAGCTCTATTAGTCATGGGAGTCACGTGTTAGCTTTATATGGGGCTCGAGTCTACCCCTGGGTAATGGGTACTGAATTTGTATTAAAATTGTACAATATTTAATATTCGATCAATTTTCATTGTCATGCTGGTATAACTTTCATAACGGTCATGATTCTCTCAGTCCTGTTTAAAGCATGTGAGGTGGAACATCTCCAGATTTGATCAAGAGGACGGCTTCATTGTCCCACAGCAAGAACATGTCCACCACTGAGTTTCCATAAAGCTACTACACGAGGTGCAAACCCATCCAAGGGGCTTCTTATCTGCACCCCGATCCAAGGACTTGAGGGTATCCAGTGCACGTGTTCGGTTCTTGAAAAGAAATGGATCACCAGGATTCGCGTCCTTCTCTTCCTTTCGATCAAGAGTGAATGGCCTTTTCTTCGAGTTTCGTGACTCTGAACGCACTGGTTGAATATTGTTTCGGACAGAGGTAGATGTGGATAGCGTATTGGTCGGAGGTGGTCGTTCTGCTGCACAAACATCACAACATAAGAAGGTAGACGGGTTCTCGAGAGTGCACATTGGGCAGATCCAGGGTGTCTCGTATGAGCTATTATCGGCAGTAAGACCAACAGTTTCATTGCGGTTCGATGAAGGGGCTTCTTTTTGAAGTACAGGCAGAGTTTCGGAGACAACAGGCGGGATTGCGGAAGCAGTAGGTGGTGGTGACAATTTTGTTCGAGGTCCTGCCGGGTTTTCTTGACTTGGCGGAACATATGACGACTCATATTTCTCTCTTTCTTCTTCCTGTATCAGTTCGATGAATGCCTCCATGATAGCCCTCTCATTTGCGTCATCTTCCTCGGCTTGGGTTCTGAACCCATGTGAGGCCACTTCCGCAAGTTCAGTGCTTCGGTCTGTGCCAGAAGCACAACCCTGAGTCACCTCAATACGCCGCTGGGCAGCATCAGCCCGGAGCTTCCGTATATCTGTTCCGCGGAGCACGCGGGTGCCACCGAGCTTTTTGCCGGAATTTTTGGTAAGAACCCTTCGCTGTTCAGCAGCGGCACGAGCCTGACGTCGAGCTTCATCCAGCGGAATTCTTTGGCCACCCAGACGCTTTCCTTGGGACAAGAAGCCCTCTCCGGTGTAGCCTTTTCGGGCTAGTTCCTCGTGTTCATCACGAAGTTGATTCCACAGTGCATGAAACTGCTGGTTGTGGGGACCAATCACGTTGTGGGCAAGTCTGAACTTTATTAGAATTTGTATTTTGGGCCATTTAGATATAAATCACTCACTCGTGAAGCATAGTATCTAAAACCTCCTCAATGGGGAGAAATTGCCGTTGATCGGAGGGATATCGTAATCTAAGACAAATCTTCTGGCCCGAGTTGACATTCAGCCCCAGCAGATTTCGCTGCTGCGGATAAAACTCACAGAGCGCGCCCACTTTCCAGGCACGCTGTCGCATGATCGGTTTGACCAACGATGCGACCTTGCGCAGGATCAACAAGGCCTCTTCTTCTCGGGGGCGTTTCTTTTCATGGCGGTATTCTGAGATCAGAGGGTCTAGCTCCCGCATTTTCGAGATTTTTGATCAAGAACTTCCACGGTACGGTAAAATAGGATGCCGCGAATGAGTGAGATATTACTGTCTTCGTTTGGATGGCCTCCACTGAGGCCAGGGTCTAAACGAGAAGATTTTATATTAGAGCATGATAAAACGATGGCATTACACAGATGGCCTTGCGGGTATCCAGGAACAGTTCAAAGGAACATAGCCAGTGATGGAAATTCCAGAATCAATCCAAGTCCGGGGCATCCATGGATGGCCTTTTGGTATTGATAATCAAGCAAGGCACGCATTTGACGCCTAATAATTCAGGCTTCGGTATGATCACGTGTCTTAATTCTACGTAGTTGTAGCAGAATGACATTTTTTTCAATAATGTACATATGTACAACCGTAGTAGAGGCGACTTTAAATGTAATTGGAACTGCTCTGTCCTAGGTAATACCATAGTTGCCGAAGCGATGACTTTCGCTTAATCTCATGTTTGCAGTTGCATCCTCTTGGGTCAAAATATATATTCAAAGTATCCTAACTTAATACAATAGACACGTTGTTCAAACTATATTTTCGTATTTCATCACTATGTCTGATCACAGAAATGCATATAGACCTGGGAGGAAAGAAGAAAAAACATAAAGAGCACGACTAGTCCTTCATACTCCCCGCCCTCGGCTGTTTTATACAAAGCGCTGCTCATGTGACTTTTCCGATAACACCAAGATTGTTATCGGCGACCATCTTATCGAACTTTCGCTCTTCTTTTCCTTTCCAACTACTTCCCAAATAAACAAGATGACGAGCGACGACCAGTTCTTTTTTGACTACGTGAGTATCATGGAAGGAGGCAAAGAATATGTTCGGGGCTGACACTTCCTCATCTAGCTTGCGTCTATACCCCATGACGTAAGGCGGTATTCCCTCGAAGTCGCAGACTCGATCGACCGACAAGTCAACCATGCCGCGCACGCGATCAAGGATACGCTGGCCCAGCAGTCATGGCTACCACCCACTGTTCGCCCGGCTCGTGTTTCCCCGAGAATGCGGTCATCGCAAGGCCTGACGGACCGGATCCAAAGCTGGATGGCTCGGAATCGCGCATGGACAGCGGCCATGCTCGCCTTTATCGGAACCGGCGTTGTCTTATACTATGGAAACAAGAAATTACACGGAAAACGGAGAAAGGCCAGAAGGGCGAGCAACGGCGCGAGGAAAGAGATTGTTGGTATGTGTCATAATGCTCGCATTTGATCTGCGCTAGGATCTGAATGCTAATCTGCGATCATAGTCGTCGCTGGATCGCCACATGAGCCGATGACAAGGGCTATTGCCATGGATTTGGAACGTCGAGGATATATCGTATATGTGATTGTTTCTTCCGCGGATGAAGAGCATATCGTTAAGTCCGAGAACCGTGCTGACATCAAGGCACTCTGGTTGGACCTTACAACTGTAAGTGTTGTTCCGTATATCTCTTATACGGTATAACCTAACTAACATTGTACCATAGACGTCCTCCTCACCGTCCGAAATTCATCCCTCGTTGCAAGAGCTTCGCTCCTTGATCACTCAACCACAGTCCCCTATCGCCGGAGTGCCTCCGCACACCTGCATACTGAGCGGCCTTATCGTGGTCCCGTCACCCAACTATAGTGCAGGCCCTGTTGCAACCATCCCGCCGTCATCGTGGGCCGATACTGTCAACACCCGCCTCCTCTCGCCTATCCTCACAGTGCAGGCATTCCTCCCCCTGCTGACCCTCCGCAGCAATAATAGCACTATTGTCTTTGCCAACCCCTCCATATCATCCTCCCTTTCCGCGCCATTTGCCGGACCCGAAGTTGCCGCAACCCGAGCAATCTCAGGCTTCGCAGCCTCGCTTCGCCAGGAACTTCGTCTCCTCGAACAAGGCAACGTCGACGTCGTCGAGCTGCAGCTGGGCAATATCGACTTAGGGCCTACGTACCGAAATGGCCAGAATCAGATCGCAGGCACAGAAGTTCTCGCGTGGAGTACACAGCAGCGCGCCCTTTATGCCTCACAGTATCTGTCCAGCGTTGAGCAGCGCCCAGTTGCCTCAGCTGGTCCCAGCACAGTGCGTGGGTCTCCGGCGCGGAACCTCCATTACGCCATCTTGGATGCTTTGGAGCCCACCTCGCGGGATATGTTCGGCCGAAAAATGTCCAAAAAGTCTGTGATGTATGTGGGCCGGGGAGCTCAGTCTTACAGCCTGATCGGGGCCTGGGTTCCCAGTGGACTTGTGGCGCTGATGATGGGGTACCGCAGTGGAAATGGGATGAACTCGGAGACGCCGAGTGGCAGCGGCAGTGAAACCAGCTGGGAGAGAGTTTAAGCTCGTGTACTATGTTCTGACACATCTCCCTTCGTGACATTCTCATCTTTAATATCAAAAGCATTCGCTTTGACTAATGTTTTTCTGTACATAATATCATTGGAAATACTCTTCGCTCTTAATAGCACTGTTCCGCATGATTTTATTGTTCACACCATCACATACCAAGGTATTGTCTTAAAGCGACACAATTATCAGATTAGCAGTTACCCAGTAGGATATCATTGTTGTTACGATCATTGGTGTTACGCGGCACCATCCCCACCCCTACGCACCTAGACAATTCCCCCCAGAAGAAGAAAATCGACCTATCACCTTCCCCCAAACCGGTACACCCTTCATCTCATTCGATTCATCACCACCACACGCCCGAACAAAAGCATCGTCCGCGCACAGCGGATCCCGTCTCGCCCGCTTAATCTTACCGTCCGTCAGACGGCGGCGCAAATGAATCAGCGCCCAGGAAAGGAGGAAGACAACCAGAATCGCACCCAAGATACCGAAACAGTATCCCATTACACGTTTGCTCTTCTGTCCGTGGTCGCCGACGTCGAGGAAGGTGTACGGGTACCAGCCTTCTGTTTCATGGGTGATGTATGCGATGCAGAGGTAGAGTAAGAGCACGAGGATTAGGAATGGGATTGCAATGAACGGGTGCGGTGCTGTGGCTGGGAGGATAATTTCCAGTAGGGCGTAGACAGAGTTTAGGCAGTGTTGGGAGATCTGGATATTGGTGGGTTAGCTTGAACTGTGGATTTTCGCAAGTGTCTTTTTGCTTTTTCGCTCTGTATCTGCGGAATGGAGAAGTGTTGCGGGGGTTTGGGATTTTGGGGGAGGGGGAGGTGTGTAGAGCTTGTGATGTGTCAATGTCGATGCTCAGGTTCTTGTTTTGGATTGATCCAGCTGAAGATACATACATTTTGCCAACCGGTGAATGTCTTTTTGTACCACGGCGGAGTGAACAGTATAGCCCAGAAGACAACTGTAACGAGAAACGGGTATGTCGTGATTGTCACATACAACAAGCTGTGTAGTATGCGGAAGGCCCGTGGCCAGCGGTCGAGGAGAACTGAGTGACCTGTTCGTGCATAAAAGGCCGTATGGATCGCAGCGAATAGCATGTAGAAGCCGATACCCCAGTAAGTCAGCCAGGTGAAGTAGCTGAAAGAGTGACCGATCGAAGCGTGGTCATTGTGGGTGCCATACCAGCCCCAGAAGACGAAGATGGAGGTGAAAATGTACAGTGAGAACAGACCGCGAAGCCCGGCGAGAATGGCGGGGGATAAGATCCAAGACGTCTCGAAGTGGTGCTTGTCATCGGTAGTCGGATCGACTCCGAAGAGAGTGGTTAGTGAGAGTCGAGGCATCTTGTTGTGTGCCTTGTGGTTCCGTTGTATCTCGGGGGAGTTGAAGCCAGAGAGGCAAACAAACAAGCAAGAAAAAAAAAGAATGTTTAGATGTCCATGCACTAGCCCAGGCGGGCAGTGAGTCGGCAGTTAGATGCTAAAATTGGAGCTGGGGTAATCAATGCCTCCTTCTCCCTCGTGATATAGAGTGACCTCGCAACGCCGTTCTGCGCCTTTACGGTTCGATCACGAAGGCCAGAGCCAGTCATACAGGCAGCTTTGCTCTCAGTCTCACCTTTAATTCATTTTGTCCCCACATGCAATGACCCTACACCGAAAAGAGTTTAAAGGTTTGTGATTGAACCTAACGTTAAATCAAAATCCGGGTGAGACTTGGGATCGCTCCCAAGGACTGATAGAGAGCAAACCAGGATGTAAGATTCTCTCGATGATTAGCATTTGGGCCGATATATTCGAGATATTGTATTTGGTACGAATAGGAATATTTGAGATAGGCTAGATGAAGGAGTTATTCTTCCATATATGTATAACTTACCATTGCTTATAGTCCCCGGTGGATACAACCCAGAGTATGACATGAGACTAAAATCTCCGTGGAATACGTTCTACAGGCTACTCTTACAATTCGAGGCGTAACATATTAGCTTATTCTGCAGAGGATGTGCATGCAGATTACTACATGTATCTGCTGAATCTCATTTTTCACTTGTATAGCAGCTGGTACCATTAGAAAGCTTAAGCATCATTTGACCGCACTGGAAATCTGTTGCGAGCTGACTCCCAGCCATTCTCCCCAGGCTCGGACAGCCAGACATCAGAAAGAACCCATGCTAGCCTCTCGGGGATGCATCTTTTCCCCGAGCTTTTATAAGCGACTGATGCCGTATCTCCCTTGCCCTTTTTCCGATTTGCGTAAATATCGGTACGCCCACGGTTTGGAAATTGTAGCATGTGATCAAAACGAACGAGAAAACCAGCCAAGGAGCCGTTCTTTATCATTCAAGGGGTACCCAAGACCAAAAGGCACGATACGGAGGTTCTGTAGGCGACGGGAATCTTGGTTGGATGAGATCAAGTGCCAAATCTGAAGAGCAAGTTTCTCACCCATTGTCGCATTCGCGAATATCCCATGAAGAACGGATGTCATGAATATTTGAAATTGGTACACCGGCCGCAGTCTGGGGTCAAAATGAAGACCTAGTACGAGGCTATAGAGGTTTGAAAAGTATTTAAGTTCCCCAGGGCATTTCGCACTCTACTTGACGGCCCTGGATCGTTTGATCGGAAGACGGAATTCTTCTAGCTGGGGGCAGCACTTGGCTAGCTGGCTGATGTCAAGGGCATCAAGTTCTAGATATTTATATCTGGAATCGGGTTCGCCGATCTTACGGCAAATGTATGCAGCGACTGGTGATGTAGAAGATTGAAATCGATCCCCAGTTGTTGCACATTCGATCCCTAACTCGAGGGCTTGTCTGCTTTTTTAAACTTGGCACGCTGGTGCCCACGTTATGCGGCCACGACAGATGTAGCCGGCATTTTGGATGATGCTGTGAAATAGCTTCCTGAAAGGGAATTGGAAAGTCGTTCTTTACAAGAGATTCAATTTGTTCTAGAGGGCTCAGACGGGCGATGAGGGCAGCAAGTGGTGGCCAGCCTCTTTCCCATTTCCTATAACTCGACCAACACTGGATGATATCGAATCCCGTGGCAGGTTATAAACTGGGATCTGTCAAATGAGACTCCAGAAAACTGTCTTTTGGGGCTAGCTCGTCTTGCTTGTGACGAGATAATCCCAACCTGCAGCCTTCTGAATGCCAAAGAAGGTCCTGTGCTGGATTGCCAGAATCTGGATTGAGACATCTAATAGATAATTTCCTAGCGTACTTTACGAACCGACGCCCCGACCATCCTCTATCAACTCTGAGACGGTTTCTTGGAGGGTTTGAGGGTCTCGATAAAAAAAGAGGGGCCCCTATTCCATAACAAGTGTGATTAACCGGACTAAAAGTGGAAAGGGCCGTGCATGAACCCAGACCATTGGCATGAAGCTAAAGGTTTTGGTGTCTCACAAGGAAAGAAAGCGCGAGGTGACATACTCTGAGACATACATATATCTGGTGCAAGAGCTCCGGTGGAGGATGATTCATTCTGCTTAGGTCTTGCAGTCCTTGCGGTCCAATGGAAAATATTCGCAAAAGGATATAAGATCCTGCAAAGATCTAAAGAGAAAGAGACTTGAAACAGGTGTTTTTTCGGAGTTTGGTAAGCGTTGCTAAGCGTTCCTAAGTGTTGCCAAGTGTTGCCAAGACACAGTTTCTTAATCACATCAAAACACAATATCTTACTAGCTCTGTATTGATGGGTAGTGATGTGTAGTATTTTTAGTGTTCTCCTTCTTGACTTATGTAAAAACCCACATATGGATGTGCGTAATTAATCATTGTGGATTTCAATAATAGGTGTGTGCCCTCTTATAGAGCTGATCTTATGTAGCCTAGTCTCTAGCCTTTCGGTAACGAAAAAGATGGTACCTCAGACGGAGCTCCAATCTTGGTGAGGACAAGACCACAATTTATATTTGTTAAGCGTACCTGGTGTTCTATGTTGTATGTAAAAAAAAAAAAAAAAAATGTCATAGTAATGACGTGCGAGCCGCGACTCCCCAGAGCCCTGACTAGCCGTTGGATTTTATCCGGTCATCCCAAGTGTTTATGTACGATTCTAGAGCGCAGAATATGTCTTTGTAGTAGTCAGGGGTCAGGATATTCCCAAGTAGAAGGACGAATGCCTTTACCTGAAGAGCCACTTCGTTATCCGATTCGTAGGTCGTGTGCGTAAGTGCTATTAGGACATGGGCACCAATTATCGTCCAAAGCGATATATCATGACATTGAGATGCATCTTACAACATCGGTAAATCCACTCTTAGCTGCCGCGCGTAGTTAATGCAAATGTTCGGAGACAGATGAAAACAGAAACCGAGGGAAATCTAGGGCGAAGATTTTCTGAAGGAATTGTATTCCAAAAAAAGGAGAAGCAAAGGGGGGATGTGCCCTTCTTATGGACTCTTGATATACTATTCTTGAGTCCTAGGTGGTATATATAGATATATAGTGCAAGGTTCAGTCCAACCATGGACCCGGAAGTGCATGCTGAGTAACATGTGATACTATTCCAAACTAGGGATAGTGAGAACTACGGACCATGGTTGAGTTGACTCAAAGGCCGCGTATGTAACTATATTTGTCCTTTCATCTCCCAGAGACTTCCAATGTAGTGATTTTACTACTAAGAAAAGAAATCATTATACAACAGTTCCGGGGAGAGATTCTATTGGGTTATATATCAATCCCATTACGAGCCATTTTTCAACCCCTTTCAGACTGTGGTACCCGCTCTCGTGGCTTGTAATATAAGTAGGGGATTGTTTCACTTCTTTCGGCTATTGTTGCGAATCTGAGAAGTTAGCCTATCCTAACTTTTGTATATAACTAGGCAGCTATTTCCAAGGCTGTCACAATTCTAACATAAAACGCAATAGCTCATGCATGTGGTTTCTTCAGATCAGCAAATGATGAAACCACCCGTGTGGGGAGAGACGGCAGAGGAACTAGGACTGGAACTAGAATTCTAGAAGATAGCGGGTCAAACAAAACACTCCCGAGGTCAGTTTAATTGAAGTATTAGTGAAAGCAAATAGTAGATTCCCAAGGCGATGTATTCAATTAAAGAATAGTTATAGCCAATAACAGTACACAGTATGCGACTTGATGTTATTCCTGTATTCTTGGCGACCCCTGAGCAGTTCTCTCCCCCTGAGACGATCCCTTGTCAAACGTCGAGACCCGGTGGAGCGACTGTTTTATTTTAGTGCACGGGACGCTTCTATTTACTTGTCATAGTCTCGTTCCAAGGTTTGCAATTGTGATCGTCAGTGCCCTCCGTTTTTCTCCTTTCTCCTTTCTCATCTCTCTATGCTCTCCTCTTTCCAATGCCCTGAAATTCCTCATTCCTTGCTTCAATATTGTGTGTAGGGCTGTCATTCCTTTGGCTCTATAATCTCGCCCCCCCGCCCGACACATCCCCCCCCTTTGTGTGTTATCCGCAACTCCGCCCTCGACTCGGACCCAACTTCAAAAGACTACTCCGATGCTTCCTGCGCAAATCTCGAAAGATCCAACCGACTCGGGATAAATGATTCAATAGCCGACCATTTCATATTTATCTATTTATTATGGACATGCGAGGGAAACTGAGCGAATGTCGCTCCATATCCCACGACACCCTGCGGAGTGGCTCGCCACGGGTGGCGCATTTTGACGGCGAAGTTCCTCCCGCGCTCTCCCCCCTGGACGCATTCGCCGCGCAGAGCCGATTTCTCGCCCGACAACTCGATGAGTCTCGACGAGGAGACCGCCGCATGAGTCGGCTGCCGCCGTCGAGTGTGGCTCGATCGCTTTCGCAAGGCCGCCCGGGCTTCTACCGTTCCAAATCGTCGACTGAATCCCGCACAGAACTGACCCGGAAACCCACGCAGAAGGGGCTGCCGGAGTTCGAAGACCCCAAGTACCGCCCTGTCTCCGAACATCCCCGGTTGAGCTCAATTTCCCATGCTAGCACCGAGGCTAGCTACTATGAGGATGATGACAATGCGACACCCCGGACAACGATATATAACACTGGCCCGGAGGCATATGGGATGCCGCGCGCCGAGTCACCAGAGGATGTCGCGTCACACGCAAGTGGAGCCGAGGATGCGCCTGTTGGTGTAGCGGTTGATAAGCCGCAAGGCTCATCGATCGACTCAGCTTCGCGACTGGACATCCCACGCACCTTGGCACCCCCAGTGTCACCGCGGTCGCGTCCATCCAGTAGTGCCAAGGTGACACACCCTGAGAGTTCTGATGATGATTACAGCAGCTCTAATGGTGGGTCGACCTTCTCCAAACCTCGAAAGCTATCCTCTGGAAGTGCTGTGTCATTGCCATATTCTCCCATGTCGACATTCCCTGCACGACCACACCCTCGATCACCATCCATGAGTTCGGAGACATCAGGAACGGGAACGAACCATCTCCCCCGCCCTTCTTTCAATTTCTCTCGACCGCTGAGTAGGTCCAGTACAAGCTTGTCTGCGCCTGGAGCTTCGACGCCTACAGAACCGATCCTTGCTTCTGGATCGAACCATATGTACCGTCGCAGCAAGCCTACTCCGCTCCTCTTGGAAACTGAAAATGCTGCTGCAATGGCGGACATGGATGGTGAGCCGTCGTCCGCCGTCTCATCTTATGTGTACGCCAAGTATGCGCTTCCGCGCGGACGCTTCCTGTCACGGGATTCTGTGGTCTTTGCGGGCTTGCAAACGCCTCATTTCGAGTGGGAGGAGCCTCTATTTGAGAAAACTCCTCCCCGGCACTCAGAGGAGCCGCCACGGATGACACGAACACCATCCCCTACTGCCCACCGCCAATTTGAGCACTCACCGAAGCCTCACTCGATGCACGAAGTTCCAGCTTCCAAGCCTCAAACCCCGATGCCGATGCCGAAATTCCAACCTGAATCTCCCCCTCAATCTCCACCCCAGTCTGAACCCCAACCTCAACTTCAACCTCAACTTCAACCTCAAACTCCCAAGTCTCAGCGATTCCCACAACCCCCGCCTGTGCCCGACTCGCCAGTGGAGCCGGCACCACGGCCCTCTGCTGAGAGCACCCGACAGACGATCAACGATAAGGATGAAACTGTCTCTTCTGCGGATTCAGCCAGCACCATGCGGCCCAAAACCGCTGCCGCTCAGGTGACGGCCTCCGGTCTCACGGCTGACGACCACGTCGCTAAGGGCATTGAATGTCACGAGCGAGGATCCCTGAGTGAGTCGACGTATCATCTGCGGGTTGCCGCGAAACAGGACCACCCGACGGGAATGCTGCTTTATGCGCTGGCTTGTCGACACGGCTGGGGCATGCGATCCAATGAGAAGGAGGGCGTACGATGGTTGCGCAAAGCTGTGGATTCCGTCGGATTGGAAATGTTGGCCGATCCGGATGGTCCCGGTGCGTCGAAGGCGAAGGAATTGCAAAAGGCATACCGTGCTCAATTTGCTCTGAGCATTTATGAACTGGGCGTCAGTTACTTGAATGGCTGGGGTATCGAGCAGGACAAGTCTCTTGCCCTGCGCTGTTTCGAAATCGCCGGTCAATGGGGCGACGTTGACGCCATGGCCGAAGCTGGATTCTGCTACGCGGAGGGGGTTGGCTGTAAAAAGGATATGAAGAAGGCGGCGCGCTTTTACCGCCAGGCTGAGGCCAAGGGTATGAGTATGGTTGGAAACAGCTGGTACGTTTTTCTTAGTAGTTACATTCTACTCGACCTTACTAACGATTATCCGCAGGATCTACAAGGCCAAATACAACGAGGTCGAGTCCACGTCCACGTCCACGTCCACGTCAACTGGACGCTCCCGTGGCCGAAATGCCAGCGGGGAGAAGGACAAGAAGCCGCGCAGCAAGTCCCGCACTCGCAGTATCTTCCAACGCAAGAAGTCCAATGTGTCGGAAGCATAGACTATCTGTCTGCTTTCTGCTTTATCCACTTTCCTTTCTGTCTCAACGCGTTCCCCTTGGAGTTGTGGAAGAACCATCCATTTTGCATTTTGCATCATGTTTGGAGCGTTCTGAGCCGACCTTTGATTTATTTGCATTTTTTTTTAACTCGATTCTTCGACTTACATTCCTTCACTTTCTCATGTCTAAACCTTTTTTTTTTTTTTTTTTTTTCCTGTTCTCCTTTCTCCTTTCCCGAGCCGCCTGGGCAGCTGTTATTGAGCATGGACCGAGTCTGGTTCACGTGTCTCGCTTAAT